AAGTGGCCCTTTAAGAAGACGCAATTTAGGTGACAACATTACAAAAAATAGATGAGAAAAAATTCAAGGAAATTTAAAAGATTTTGCGTCATGCATACAATGAAAAGATTAGCTGACAAATTACCAATTTAATTTAAAACAAATTAAAATAGTGTCCAAGTTTTGATAATTTTTGATAGTTTTTAGTGAGGAACTTGTTTGCATATGTAAGAGAATGTGTCACTTTCTGCGCAGGGATAATCGTTCCACCTGCCATCCTTTCTCATCATGGCACAATCTTCGTTATTTTTAGAACCTCCATTATTAGGCTCACCGCTGCTCCATTTAGAAAATGTGAAATTTCTCCTGAAAAATATATTGAAAAATTAATGATATATAGAACATCATCTAAATGAGTAATACAACCATTTGTTTTGAGAGTACGAGTGGCTGGCGTAGCAAGAGTTACAGTGAAGGCCTTTAACCCATGAAATAAAAAATACTAGTCAACGTGTAATAGTCAAAAAGACACAAAAGAAAACAATGAAATTAGGGTCTATTAATGTTTATTATCTAATTCACGGGTTTATTGATTTCAATCTGACTCCTTTCGCTTTGTATTCTTTTCATTTTACTCATTAGAAAAACAGCCACAGGTAACCCAAGATCAGCATTAGTATATTATGGAAAGTCCATTTTCTTTTCCGGGGTTGGGAAAAAATTCTAAAAAGTCGTGAAAATCGTTCCAGACATTGCCAGAAACTACTATAAGACACACAGGAAGTTACAGTTGAAGAGATTGAAGTTTATTCAATATTTACGCTGAAAATCGGCAATGTGCAAAATCCACATACATTCTAATGCCGAGCTTGGGCTACCTGTGCAAAGAGCACGCAGGAATGTATATGCAAATATGGTCAAAGAACGAGAGCAAGATAGGAAATGTTCCACCATTAATAACTGATCAAAAACCTTTCGTTTTATCGTGGAATAAGGGGTAATAACAGCCCAAATTGTATCTCAAACCACTGTGAATGGATAAAGTAGGATTGTATTTCAAGCATGTGGAAACGAGTAAGAGGTCTTGGTAAGTAGAACTGCATCATTCGTAAATACTAAACCGACTTAAACAACTAGCTACGATCAATTATAGATATAAGTCCGCTGAAAAACGGCCAAACGTTTGTTTATTTGTTGGGTCAAAATGTTTGCTAAATGTTAGGTCAAATGTTGGCTAAATTTTGAGTCAAATGTTGGATCAAATATGCAGTTGGGTCAAATTTTGGGTCAGATATTTGGCCTTTTTATGTCAGAGGCCTAACTGTTATTTTGTTTTTTTATAAATCAAAGTTTCAACGGTCTGATTTAGAACTGTTCTTGACTAATCAAGTCAAAAACCTAGATATCTGGAGTCGTGCGTTGGGTAGTCCCTTCTTGATATGCCATATTTGATATAACTGTAGYGGAGAGTGAGTTAGCTATCGTATGTACACACAAAATAGAGAAGTGAGATGAACGGTGAGCTTGCAATGATAGAGACATGTGAATAATTGTTCAAGGTGTTAAAAACAGGTCTGTTCGTCTCGCTTTGATGCAAAGGCAYGGCTACCTTTCAAGATGGCACAGGGAACTGTGAAGAGGACTATTTGATAAAATCAAAGTTTGGTTCAAAAGGTTAATTCATCAAATCGAAGCTAAGACTGAGGGGTATTCTGGGTAATAATTGATATTCTTGGCATTTGAAGAGTGTTTGCATACATACAGACACATGCAATGAAGAATGACAAAATACTTTGTCGGGTTAAGCTAATTCTTAGTTCTGTAAAACTGCAGTATATAAGATAATCTCCAAAACTTCAATGACTATCTTCCCTTACCCRTCTGTCCAACGCCATCTTCCTTCAGTCTTTCTATCATTGGCACCAATCCAAATATTGTTTCCTTTCTGGATGTTCTTCTTGATGAATAGAAATTCTTCTTGGCTTCCAATGCTCAGCAGATTTGCATTGTGTTCTTCACAAGCCATTTGAGCTTCTGGCCATGTTGATATATTATATACGAAGAGGTAGCAGAAGTGATTGCCGTTGGTTTTCCATGTCTCCCAGTTATTTGGACAGCCTATAAAAAACATCATTAGCAAGACTCTTTTTCACTCTTACGTCACCAGGCATTATCTTCTGCTTGTCTTTATAGTTTAGACCCCCTGTAGCAAACCTTAARCTGCTAAATTTATAGAGTTATTTTAAATTAGCAGAGTATTTTTCCTTCCATTTTCCAATCCTCCTCCTCCCTCCTTTATTACACGGGGATTCCAAGTGCCTAAGAAACGAAAATAAGAGCTTAGGGTCAAGGGAGATTCTAAGGATTCTTAAATGAAAAGGGTCCATGGAATAACCCTGATGCAAACCACAGGGAGAATATTTTGAGTGTGGGACCCATTGTTTCAATATATTTGTGTTACCTGGGCACTTCTTTCTATGGCATACTCTTGTTTCATTGAGCCTCTTATTGCAAATTTTTCCTTTTTTGCAATGCCGTAATCTACTTCGCATTCCTTCCCCRCATGTTTTGCTGCATGGCTGCCATAGTGACCAAGAGGTGTAATTAATCTCTACGTATAGATTAAAGGAAAGTCAGTTCATAAAATATATCTTGCTATTGTTGTTGAAATATTTGTTTAAAATATATATATTGAAATGATAATGAATATAATTATGCACAAGATAAAAAATATCCACAAGATTTAGTAAACCATCATGGTTTTTAAGTTTTTAAATATTTTTTCCCTCCTCATGAAAACAATCTTGAAACTATTAATGATAAGAGTTCCACTTTAACATTCATGGGAAATTGAAAATTTCATATCAAGAAAACAATGAGTTTTTTTAACTTTTGAAGTGTTCCAGTTACCTGGATATTTATCTGCACAAAGATAGTTGTTATCCCATCCATCCATTCCTTCTTTTCCCATCCACTTTAAGCAGTATAATCCATCAATCAAACCGTTCACAGACCAATGAAATCTGTCAAAAAGAGAAGAAGATAGTGATCCCTATTCCCTTCTGCGATAGYGATTTCATTTCTTCCATGCAGGTGTTTGAGCTTTTGAAATCATTGAATATACAGCCATTTCAAAAAAAGGCTTCTTACTGAATACKGCATACTGAATAGTGCATTCCAAGATGGAAGTGCATTGTGGGTCATAGTGACATTGTATCAAGTAGGATTAATAGTAATAATAATTTTTTTTAGTGTATTCCATTTGAAACAATATACTATCTACATGTAGAGAGTTAATTGCTGTATATTTACTTTTTATTTTAAATTAACGAGAACCAAAATAGTTTTGAATGAATGAGAGCAAGGAAGGAAGGAAGGAAGGAAGGAAAGAAAGAATTAGGAGGAAAAGTTAATAATAAGAAAATAATGAAGGGAAGAAAGAAAGGAAAAGTAGAGGAAAGAAAGATGTACAAAAAAAAAAAAAAGGAAAAAGAGAAAGCATTATTTTTTTACCTATAAGGAGCATCTTGCTGCACACACAAGTAGTTATTATCCCATCCACTGTTTTTCTTCTCCTGAGGTTCACTAATCTGAGTACACCGCATTCCTGGAACTTCATTCRTATCTGACCAAAGTATCTTTAACTTTCTCCTTCTCATTATTAACCAGCAGAACTTGTGGTTCAGCCATTGAATGTATTGGTTTCGTTCATAAATATTGATGCAAGTTGTGATGGATTGAATTTTTGATAATCCAATGTAGAACTTAAAATCTCTAGGCCAATGTGGCCAACCTAAAAAAAGTCAAACTTTTTAGTTTGCAATCGCTTGCAAGAGCTTGAAATAGCAAACACTATGACCTGCACGTCGGACAAAAACAACCACAGCAAATTCAATTTTTAGGTGGATGATATGTCATTGCCACCATGTTGGTTGACTATACGAAGCATCCCTCATTAAGCTTTTCTTGTTAGATCAACCAAGATGGCAGCTGYTTTTTTAATTTATATTTCAAGGGATTTTTGGGTCACGTGGTTGCACTCCAAGAGGGACCTAAGCAATTAGAATAGAGAATAGAAAAGAATAAAATAAAAGGAGCCGCCATGATGGATGACATAACAAGTAGCTCAACCAACATGGCGGCTATGACGTCATGTGGGCTTTTGACACTCACATTTACATTTATCTAACATTGGCAGGACTAATCATTCAAAGCTAAAATAATGAAACATCGTTTTGTCTCTTACTTGAGCATTTATTCTTGTTGCAAACTCTCATTTCCACCAGGCTTCCTGTACAAAGTCTTTCATTTTTGCACTGGCGAAAGCGACTTTGATTTCCTCCCCCACACTCCTTGCTACATGGTTGCCATGGTGACCAAGAGGTGTAGTTGCTTTGTAGAACTGAAACGAAATAATCTCAGTCTACTGACTAATAATGCACTCCATAGGAAAATACTCACCTTTGTTATCGTTAGGTGTTACTTTATTCGTGCGTACAGCACAAAGATAATACAAATAAGGACTCCCAGCATGCACTCTGATCCCTACACACTTCATCCCATTGATTGGACCAGAAACTGACCAACCAAATCTCAGTACGCTGTCACGTGGAACACATATATAGTTATCTTGCCAGAAACAGGCATAGGAATCCCTGTGAGGGATGGCCGTGTTCGTGCAGATCATGGAAGACACGCGCCCGGATTTTGACCATACAATGTTGATTTTCTTATCCTCTTTGTAACAAATATTTGTAGTGTTCCATAATGGATCCTCTGGTTCATCCATAGCAACACAGTTTGGATTTTTCGGTTGCTTTCCCTTTGTGAAAAAGAAGTCTTCAGGAAAGTTTGGAAAATCTGAAAAAGAGATAAAATTTATAAAGATCTATCGAACATTATATCCACCGAGGTTACCTTGGTATTGTGAACAGCAAAGTCGGTGTCGGATCCAGGATTTTAAAAACGAGGGTTATAAAAAGGGCGCAACGCAGAAAAAGCTGCTAAGATTGGCGTCACAAATCGGGGATTCCAATTTCATTCTACTGAGCGTAAGGAACATGATTGATTGGATTGCATGAATGGAACCTGCTTCACAAGATCTTACAAAAGGGGGTTCCATGGTACCCACGGAACCACCCCTGGATCTGCCTCTGAAAATAGTGCAACTTGTCGYGCATTATTTTTGCATTAAGTTTCAAGTTGCAGAGTAAATTTTTCCATTTTTCTTCTCTTCTCAATTAACCACCATTTTCCTCTCGATATTTTTTCATATCCAAAGCCAGAGAATTCGTCACCAAGCTTTGATCATGAATTTTAAATATCAGAACTGAATCGAAMTTGTCTTCTCACCAAAGCAGTTGTAGAGTATGTTTGTCTGTTTAATGTCCATTAAGCTCAACCCAGTGTTACCAAGATACTTGACTGACGGATCACGTGACTTGAGTGTAGGTTTACCATTTATAGAATAGGTGTGTGTTCCATAGTGCATGATAGAGTAATAGTCATATGGTGTGGAGGGCTTTTTGATACGATTTCTTCTCAGGTAAAATGCTCTTGTCCATCCTTAAAGATAGAATTAAGGAGAAGGTTATCTGTAGAAGTGTGCCGGGAGTCCTACACTTGGGTGACGGGCGAGCGCGTTTTTGCGCGAAATTTATTCGCCAAAAACATTGGGGATAAAACAATATAAAACCCGCTTGGTCGTATTGAGCTTTCCTTTTACAGTTAGCGTGCATTACTTCCAATTTAAATAAAAGATGTCGGCTAAATATTCATCCAATAATTCGCGCAGTCAACAAAATGAAATTTAGGAAATAAAATATAATAAGAAATGATTCCAAACTTATGACGTCATCTCCGTTGTCTGTATTCTTAGTAACGATGGCTCAGAGCCAATCATAAAGCATAGAAGGAAACAATATATTAACGTAGGGATATATAGCTTACTCGGATTAATGTTTCTCCAAATAATTTCCACGTAGTAATCTCGGTCTTGCCGATTTTGTTCGTGGAAAAATCCGATTGTGTGACCAAGCTCGTGTAACACAATCCGAAATTTGTCACAAAATTTTCCTAATGACAAGAGTGACGTCTTGCCGTCCCATTTGCCGACACTGCCACGACAGCTGATAAATGATAAAAATGTAGGGTATTTTAGGTATTAGGAAGAAATAAGAGGAAAATATAAATATTTGGATGRAATGGAATGGGATGGGATGGATGGGACTATATTAACGAATGAAAGGATGAAGGAGTGGATGAACCAATTGAAGGGTAAATGAGATGGAATGGGATGGGTATTTGAATTGATAAGATGAGATGAATGGATAAGCAAAATAAAATGATGGATGAATGGATAGATGGGATGGATGGAT